GAAGAAAGAAACCCACGATCATCTCAGTATTCAATAGAATAATCAGAACACATTTTTAAAAGACAGGAAAAAGTGTAGACGTTCTGCACACCATTAGTACCCTTGATCTAAAGGAGCTGCCTAGAACACTGAGTCCACAACGGCATGACACATTCGAGAACGACAAAAATTGGTCCTATGGTGTCTTTTAGAGAATATCAAAAAACAGAAATCACCCAAGTATATTCTCAGATCACAGTTAAGCTAACAATTAAGCTAAAAATCAATAACAAAAAGATACGAGAAAACCTCCATATGTTTGGAAATTAAGAAATACACTCCAGAGAAGATGGAAGGGATATGATACAGGACCCAGGTGGAAGGTTGCTTTCGCCAAGAGGAAGGACCCCGTTTTCGTTAACCTCCGAGTGTCTGGGCCCTAGTTGCACCTCCTCCCAGTGCAATTTTGAACAAGCTGAATTAATCATCCGGGGAAGTGTCCAGAAATGATTCCAAGCGGTAGACTCCAGGCCTTCCTTGCTGACTTCGTTACTTTCATCAACTCTATGGCATGATCTTAATAGCTGTAGTTCTCAAGTTTTCCTAAAAGGGAACTTCTCCCTCTCACCAAGTTATAGACCCATCATGGAGGGGCAAGGAGTGAGGTGAACTCCTCCACAAACCAAGTGCAGCTCAGGTCCACATCTAGATGTTTCGGTGCCACAGGCACCCAGAGCCTGATATTATTTTGTAGAAATGAATCCTGACAGAGCCAGCAGCAACAAGAGCCATCAACCCCATCTCTACGAGGGAGCTGCGGCTTGGCAGGCACAGGCTGTTAGGGCCACAATTCTCCTCTGAATGGATTCTGGGTTAACTGGGGATGAAAGCCCTAAGTTCAAGGCCAGAGGTCTTTTTCCGAGATGGACAGGCGGCAAAGGGGCCTATCAGAATCACAAGAGAAGCTGCTTACGGTATAATATTCTTCCCATAGGCTGGGGCCATTCCAGCCCACAGACTGCAGGTTTTTCATCTTTTAGCCCTGGAAACTCTCTGCCCACTTCTTTTCTCTTTCACATGAAATCTTATCAGGGATAACAGGTGAAACTGGAACCAATGAGAGCCCTGGAACCCCACTCTCTTGGCCAGCCCTCTCCAACCACCACCACGGCGTCTGGCCACAGACTTTTCAGCCTGAACTTTTCAAAGAGTATGTGTAACGAAACAGCTATCTCAACCATTAAAAACAAAAAAAGTCTTGAGAAAGTCTAGCTTTGAGGAAGGCAACTTCCTGGTACGCCCTCCAAAGTAAACCTGATGCAAAATGTATGAATGAGGAAACACTAAGAACAGCGAATACTGGTGACACTTGGAAAGTAAAAGTGGCCACACGCACGCAGCCCTTTCTTTGGGGTCAATAGTTATCAGTGGCCAGTCCAACCCACCATATTTTGTTTTGTTTTGTTTTGTTTTTGAGATGAAGTCTCGCTCTGTTGCCCAGGCTAGGGTGCAATGTCGCAATCATGGCTCACTGCAACCTCCAACCTTCACCTCCCGGGTTCAAGTGATTCTCCTGCCTCAGCCTCCCAAGTAGCTGGGATGACAGGCACGAGCCACCACACCTGGCTAATATTTTTGTATTTTTTTTTAGTTGAGACAGGGTTTCACCATGTTGGCCAGGCTGATCTCGAACTCCTGACCTCCAGTGATCCGCCTGCCTCAGCTTCCCAAAGTTCTGGGATAACAAGCATGAACCACCATGCCAGGCCCAGCCTATCCCATTTTGGAATAACAGAGTTCTTCCATCTGTAGATAGATAGGACACTGTTTTTCCTAGAAACGGCTCATCTAAAATAGTCACATAACATCACATAACAATGATAAAATCAGGGAACAACACATTATCCCCCTCCTCCACATTCACTGCTTCCCAGAAAAGCTTCCCTGACAGCACTTGATAGGACCATCTCAGCTTAGGCTGCGGATGCTGTTCAATCCGCCATACAGCAACCCCGGACAGGCCATCTTACATATCTGTATGTCCCAGGTTCTGGTCCCATAGGAGGGACAGGCTCTGCTCGTGTCAAACACATCAAAACGCACCCAGCAACCCACATGACATCGTTTCTGTATAAACATTTCAAATGAACTATATAACTCTGCTTTTGAAACAATTATTCATTTTGCCCAGTTTTTTGTTGTTCAAATTTTGGTTTGTTTGGGGACAGGATCTCCCTCTGTCACCCAGGCTGGAGTGCAGTGGTGCCATCCCTGGCCTCAAGTAATCCTCCCACCTCAGCCTCCTGAGTAGCTGAGACTACAAGTGCACGCTACCATATCTGGCTGAATTTTTGTGCTTTTTGGTGTTTGTTT